ATAATAATAATAATAATAATAATAATAATAATAATAATAATAATAATAGCATAAATACATACAACCAAATCAATATTTACAATAAAAACATTAAATGATAAAATTGTCCCAATAAATCAATTTGGATCAAAGGCTAAAATCCCAGACAGAAAGTATCCTATAATCATGATATACCGTATGCCCCAAATTGTGTGATTGTAGTGGGTAGCCAAACCCAAAAGAATATGACTTGTTTGGCCAATAGACCTGTTTTGGATCTGGTTTCAATGCCTACGGAGGTCACCCATGTTACGATCTTTGGTTTGTCATGAACTCAGTTAATTTGTTTAGGACATTAAACCTTTTTCCCCCTTCCACGAGAGTTGTGTCTTCCTCTTTGAGTTAGAAAAACAAATGGTTTAGGGGCAGAAGAAGGTCTGAGGATTTCACAAGTTATACGGGGTAGTTTGTGACTGTACAGTATTACTGGAGTATTACTCCAGAAATGAACCAGGGAAGCTGCATGGAGGGGCTTCTGTTTCTGTATAGGGGATGTCTGCTAAACAAGTTGAGCCAATCAACTCACAAGATCATTTTCAAACAGCACACAAATAAATCTTAGTGTGGTGAAATTTAAATATATTTTCCAGATTTCTTTTTTTTAGACAAAGGATTAATTTATATTTTTAGCTATTGAATGAACATTTGTCATTTCTATTTGCTTTGAGTTTAAGAATATTCATATCAATCTAAAATATTGCATTGTTTTCTCTAATCATGTATACCATTCAATTATAATGTTTTTCAAAATCGGGCCACTAAAGGTTTTGCTTAGTAAGTATTATTATGTACAGGGGCATGTTGAGGCTGGCAGTTATCATTATCCACTTTGAAACTTCATGATTGGCATAGTTATTACTCCCTAATGAACCAGCTTGTTTAAAGCATAGCATTGGTGGAGTACAGGATGCCTATTTATATTTTAATTTTTTTTAAATAATCTTGAAAAATAAAAAGGGCAAAATGACAATGTTGAGTTGAGACGTTCCAATTTGCATTCAATAGATGCTTCAATTAAATTCTTGAGCCCAAAAGGTTGAGAGAGTATTAAATGAGCCATGTTCTTGCTGACTCATAGAAACCTTTTTCTGTCCTAACCTTGAAAAGCAGACACTGCAACCTATTTTTGAATCTATTTGTTCACCACAAGGGTCAGACATGACAGAACACTTCTATTCCAATGTGTCACTTGGATTTTCTTCTATCCAGCCACGCTATTTGAAAAGAAACATGGCTTTCACAGTCAGTCCTTTACTGGATTCATCAATCACCCACTTTACAGCGACAGCTGGGTTTTTCCTTAAAGGTCCAGGACTTCATTACTGGTTGGAGACACAGACCCTTGTGGTTTCATTTGTTTATATCAGTATTTCTCAGCTTCAAGACACACTCTTTTATTTGCAATATTTCAATGTTTACTCTGTATTGTGTGCAATGCAAAATCAGGCAGAATCTATCATGTGGTACAATGGAAGAGCAGTGTTTGAAATTATTAAGAGTGTATCAAGATTTATTTTTGATTAAAAGAAATAGATCGAAAAGTTTCCAAACGAAACATCCACAGTTTCCGTTCACAGATAATCTACTGATTGTTAATTAGATGGAAAATCCCTGTCGAAATCTGCCGCAGTGAGAGCTACTGCCTCGGCTCAGGCTTTGTCCCACGGTGCTGTGCTTGATCTGCTAATTCCAGCCATCCAAAGCCTTTCCCTTAAGCAGCTCCCCTCTTCCATGTGAGTAGGTTTACTACAGGTCAAGTGAATCGGCTCTGGAGTGATGTCACTGGCTGTCCTGGCTGAAGACGACTCCCACCTGTTTTCTGATTTCATCCATGATCTCTGTCAGTAAGACGGAGTCGGCCAGAGGCATCCGTGGGCTCTCCTTAAGTCCTGCAGTTGCGGGGGAATTAAACAGGGAAATAATCAGACGGAAGGACGGTTGTCAGTGTGCATCCACATTTAAATTATGCACAAATTCATAATGAGGCGTACTCTGTGGTAAAGCAAGAATGAAAAGATTATGCAAATGAGTGTGAGAAGCAAAAACAACAAGCCTGTAATAATCCCAATATAGAGGACACTTCAAGGACTCTGAGCAGCAGCATTTCTGCCTCAACTGGGTACGTTCATTTGTATGAATGCAGATAAAATGTCATCCCCACCAATGCATTAGTTTACTGAATTACTCAAAACCACGGTAACTTTTTCAAAAACCTTTCAAATCAAACAGTTTGATATGTTTGATACAAATGGAGCCTTTTATCAACACTCACCTTTAAGGAGGCACTGCCTTACTTCCTCTGCCTCGTAGCGAAGCCCGGTACTGTTTGTGAAATTCAGAGGCAGGCATGCTGGAGGCAGAGGGTACTCGCTCTCTTTGCCATTCACCACCAGTGTGGTAGGGCAGTGCATGGGGCCAAGAACCTGGGAGGTCAAAAAGAGGATACATACCTGTTCAAATCTAAAACATCAACTTAAAGTAATTAAACAAATTCAGTATGTATTTTTGTCTCAGTGCATTATTATCTAATGTGGTCTTTGTATATGCATTATTTTTTGAATAGGGAAATATACCTGCACAGCACACGAATGACATACCTGAATAGAGCCTTCAGTTCCAGCAATGACAGCATCATTTGGAAGTCGAGCACCGATCGAGAAAGTACAGAAGGCCATCCTCTTCTTGGAGAATTTCATAACCACAACCACCGATTCATCCACCCCTTCCAAACAGGGAAAATATCAAATCACTGCAAAAACTGGTGAGCAGTAAATAATCTAATGGACAAATGCATTAAGGTCAATGTTCAATGTTTAGTTTATTCAACTGTATTTGCATTCCTTTCTATTTGGTGGTGCATCTATTTTCCAGATAACTTGATATAAAGGCCGTAAATTGCTCATATCATGTATAGTGTGACGTTCTTACTTGGCAGGATATCTTTCTGAGGCATGCAGTTACATATTCTCCTGCCAGTTAAACTGTATTACTGTATTCTCTGAGGAGGATTTGGATTATTCTGACATTTTAATAATAAGCCTTGGATTTTCAGTGGGAAGATATTTGCCTGGAGGAGGATACATTTTAGCTGGTTTACAAGCAATTTTCTGTGGAAATTCCCCCTGTTTCCCCCTGTTTACTTTACAGGGAAGCCCAGTGTGTGATTACTTATTCATATGGTGTGGTTAATGATACTGATCTACATCCCGCATACACTGCATGCTGCTGTGTGCTGAATCATACCTGAGTCAAGCAGGACCCCTGTGGCCTGGATGGACTCTGGCCTCTCACCGTTAAACACCATAAGCACAAACTGCAGGCAATACACTCCAATGTCCAGCAGAGCTCCTCCACCCAGCTCCTTCTCCACAGAACGGGGGATATGGAGCTGGGGGGAACCAAAGTAGGCTTTCACTAGCTTCACCTCCCCTACTGTCTGCTCTGCCAGCAGCCTGCGCACCTCAGCGTGCACGGGGAAACAGCGGGACCAGATGGCCTGGGAAAGACAGAGCAAACAATCTTGCATTATTACTACAGAAGCAGTTTCTACAGAAATTTTACTTGAACTTGTCTATCAACATATTTGCAACAAGGCAGATCATGCCATAGGTCCTTAATACACATTTAAGATCACAGACATGTTAATTTCTTGGAAGAAATGACAACTAACTTTTAATTCCTTGTGTATTTTTGCATTCTTTCACATTATTTATCAATTGTTAATAATGTTTGGGTTTTGAATTGCTTGGAAAGTATGACACAATAAACTGGATGTGGTGAATGTTAGATAAAGATGATGGCGGGAGTGTTTTTACAATCTTACCACCCAAGCAAGAGTCTGTCTTACCTCCATGAGGAAAACATTGTTTTTCTTGGCTGCCGCAACAAGGTCTTTGACCTGTCCAGAGTTCATAGCAAAGGGTTTCTCACACAGCACATTCTTCCCAGCTTTGAGGAACAGCAGACCTACGCGCCAGTGCTCAGTGTGCAGTATCCCCAGGTACACAATGTCTGTGAAGACACAGCTGTTTGAAACGCTCACACCAAAACACCATTACCTCTGTCAGTGCACCCAGACCGCTCTTAGCTTTAAACTCACCGATGCTTGGGTCTCTGGCTAGCTCCTCATAGCTGCCATAAACCTTTGGAATATTGTGCTTCTTGGCAAAATCTTTGGCTCGCTCCAAGCTCCTTGAAGCAATGGCTGCAATCTTAAGCATTAGATACAAAAGAAGTGAAACAAAGAAAATTGGCTATGAAAAAAGATTACAATAACAATGTAGAGAGCTTGCTCATATCCAGTACCTGATGGTCTTCAGAGGGTAGAGTCTTCATAGCAACGCTAAAGTCATGGCTGATCTTCCCTGCTCCGCAGAGTCCCCATCGTGTTGCCATGTTGAATTGGATAGCAAGTGACAAATGGGTGGGATGCTGTTTTTTTGTAAAGAAGTGAGCTGCGAGGAAGTTATGACCTTGAGAGGGGTTGCACGTTCACAGGGAAGAAACTCACTAAACCGTCATGCAGTAGAGCTAGCGGCTGAAAGGCTCCATTTATATGCTGTAGAGGCACAATGTGTCACCTTCCTTCTGCTCCCACCCTGAGGTAGAGGCTGTAACACACGTACACACACACACACACACACACACACACACACACA